TATGAAGTACTTTTCAAGTTATAATGCTTCAAAGTTACAGTATCGCCGGCATTAGCATTACCCAAAATATTTAATTTTGGAGACTGACCAGTCAAGGCGAGATCAGTCGGTGGTCCGTGAATCTTGACCTTCAGTAAACGCACAAACAAAAACATAACGCGTGGTATTACATATCTTGGGTAATGCTAATGCCGGCGATACTGTAACTTTGAAGCATTATAACTTGAAAAGTACTTCATAAAAAAATATTTCATTATAGCGTTTCGGAAAGCTCTCGACATCAGCTATTAGATTCTTGAATCAAAAATAAGGTGTTCCATTTAAGGAAATCAATGTAACCTTGACCTGACCTTGGCTACGCAACCCAAAGTCAAACTGATAGAATCAGTAAATAGATATTTTTAAACCATATAACTTTTGTCTGAAACACTTTTCTGTAAAACTTATATTTCCCGAGATATTTAGGTGTCCCGACCCTTTTGGGACACCCTGTGTGTGTGTATATAAGGTTAAAGCAGGGATTATGGAATAGCTTTTTTTAAATTAACATTGCTCCGATATAAATGCATATGAAGACTTTAAATTTACACAGAACTCCTGAGGAATATGTTAGCTACAACATCCAATAAATGAAAGTCGCTAAAATTTAAATCCAAAGTCAATATTAACAAAAAAGTCAAAAGTGAGAAAATGGGGGGTCTAAAAAATGGGATGTAATATGGAATACCGATGAAATTTTGACCATAGTAATAAATAACACAATAAATGAAGTCCGAATTTGTTTATTTATATAAACTGATCAAGAAAAATAGAAAACTGTTCAATTTTTATTGTACAATAACATAGAAAATATAATAGCAACATTACGAACGTTATTACGCATGGACAAATAAAAAATCGCAAATAAGCTGATAAAACGCAAATAAGCTGATATACATGCTGTAATCTAACCTAACCTAACCTAATCTGATCACGAATAAGTTACTAACATGCATGGAATCTATTCCATATTCTCAACCCTCGATGTATTCCACATTACCTGCATGTCGTCATATGACAAATAAAGTCTTTCCGTAGCAATAAACAAGTTTGAAATAGCATTTAATCTGCATAATGTTGTTCATCCCTTACGGAAAAAACATTGAAAATTTCAGTGTTTATACTCAAATTTGAGTATAAACACTGAAATTTTCAGAGTTTTTTCCGTAAGATATGACACGCAATAAATGAGCTTAAACCTTACACCTTTGAGTGTCTTCAAAATTGAGTATATGAACTTAACAGTTATTTGAGTTTTAATTTCCATGATTAAGATAAATGCCAAAATATTGAATGTAGATGCCAGCAAATATTTGCGTACTTAAAAATAATTGCGTTTACAATTTAATATTTGTTCTGAAATTTTAATTTGTTTTGAAATTTTTATTTGTTTTGAAATTTTAATATTTATTTCTGTTCCTATAATAATACTTCCTCCATTGTACGTAAGGTCTAAGGGTGAAATCACACGGTGCGGAAAAGAAAATATGTCACAAAAGCAACCAATCATTTATTCTGCGTTATTCCGAATAGCGCTAATTGGTTGTTT